TTTTTTAGGCCGGAGAAATAATTACTCACTAAATGAGCCCATGGAAAAGGGTATAAAAATTAAAATTAAGCACTAAAAGTCCATAAAAATGCGGGTGGCTTAGCCGTTAGAATAACGCAAAGGAGTGCAGTACCGAAAATGTCCCTACCGACCAAAAACGCTTGATTTGCGGAGTCATTCAAAACATCACTATTTAACGTATCCTTCCATTGCCTCTCTTCCCATCTCCCTCGCTCTCAGATCTCCTTCGTTTCCCTCCACTCAATCCATTTTCCTCTCCAAGAAGGTGAGAGCTTTCAACTTCCGTCTTTCCAATTTTCATCTCCCTCTGTTCTGCTGGTGGATAATTCTGGAGTCGAATCTGTCTCGATTTCATAAAAATTCTGCGTTCTGAATTTGTTTTGCTGCTTGATTCTAGCTTGAATTACATGTTACCTTGAATTTTCTGTTTGGATCTGAGAAATGATTTTGTGTTTGAGGTTGATCTTCCTTGGATCCAGTGGCTTAGCGTTTTAGATTTGCAGAGCATGATCTTAATCTTTGCTTTCGCGTTTGGTGTAGCTCATGCTCTTACAGTTTCTTTTATTATTATTATTATTATTATTATTATGAACGCTATTAGATTCTTGCATGATAATCGATAAATTGCTCAAAATTCTATAGATCCATCCTTTGTACGTGGAAATTTGCAGAATTCGCATTCATTCTGAAGTTTATATATAAGACAGTGAGTTAGTTTATTAAGAATCACAATCTCTCTTGTACACAATGAATCATCCTCCTTAGTAGATTTGAAGATTCGTTGATTGTGTATTCATTTAGCTATTTTTGAATAGTTATGTTTTGGATTTGTGCAGATCAGACTTTCTCAAATAGTTTAGTTTGTGCTCATGGGGTCTATTGAGGCTGCAAGGAAGGTAATGTTTCTCAGAATCTTATTCTGATGGCATTTTCATTGGCCTTTGCTTGTTATACATGCTTGATCTGTGGTCTGGCTCTTGAGTTCTATATTAGTTTTTGTTTAATGAAATTCTATAGTAGTATTTCTAACACCACTAAATGCCCGATTGAAAGAGGTGCATGTTCAAAATTGTAAGGTTTGCAGAACTAATTATTTGATGCTAAATTAAATAGACAAGTGGTCAGTATGACATGTACACATTGCGGATGTCAATCTGCTAAATTCTTCTAGTTTTGAATGCTGGCTTATACTGCAAGCATTATTTTCCCTTGACATTACTATATGACTAAAACATTTATTTGCAGGAGGCAAATGGTAGCTTAACTGAGAAAAAGCCTTGTGTTGTTTTTGTTTTGGGTAAGCATCTTCTGCTAAACATCTTGATAATTTTTGAATTCACAATGTGCAAAATGCTTTAATTAGGGAATTTTGATTGTTTTCAAGGTCATATTTCTTGTATATTTTCAATCCTCCTTGATCATAGGGTATTGTAGGTTTCACGTAGCATTTAGCTCACTGTCTGTTGCTTCCATTTTGTGCTTATTAGATATGATAGCTGGATGATAGCTAAATGGATGAAGATCATGAAGTTATTAGCATCTGCACCTCTATTTATAGAGAGATAGATGCATATTGCTGAGTTGTAAAACATACCATATAGTTGCCGTTCATCTTTCTAAAAGTAATATAGATAATCCACTAGTTTGTAACTAGTGATTTTCATATTTGGGGTGTATGTTTTAGTGCATATCATACCTTGTCAACTCTCTTCTTTATATGGTGAATTTGTTGACCGACAGGTGGACCAGGCAGTGGAAAGGGCACCCAATGTGCCAACATTGTCCAACATTTTGGCTATACACATCTCAGTGCTGGGGATCTTCTCCGAGCTGAAATCAAGTCTGGTTCTGAGAATGGGTATGACATGTTAAGATAAATCTGTAGACATCAGCATGTACATATATTGCTGATTATCTGGTGCAATTCAGTGTGGAATTAGTATATTTTTATTTGACTATTTCCTGGTGTTTATTTTCATGCCAATTAAAGTTCTCTTGACCTGAAATTTTATGTTTGAAGTAGTGAACTATACATTGTGCAGATCAGTATTAATTCTCATTAATTTCTCACCAGCATAATATTTTGAAATTTTCCTGCATACCCTGAACAAGGTTCTAACTTTGATTTCTGTTAAATTGGTTTTCTTCTTGCAATACATTAGTAACAAATACATAATTCTTGTGGTATGCAGAACAATGATTCAAAACATGATCAAAGAAGGGAAGATTGTTCCTTCTGAGGTAACAATTAAGCTTCTTCAGAAAGCAATGCTGGAAAGTGGTAATGACAAATTCCTTATTGATGGTTTTCCTAGAAATGAAGAAAACCGTGCAGCATTTGAAGCTGTTGTAAGTCTTCTATGATCCCTTTTTTCGTTTTTTATTCTTTAAGTTTGCATGTACATTTCCCTAATGTAGCCCTCACAGCAGAGTTTATTCAGCTTTCATAGCTGATTTTAGGAGTTTATGATGTCTTCTAATTGAATTCTGATTACATGATGTTTCTCCAGACCAAAATACGTTTCCCTAATGTAGCCCTCGCAGCAGAGTTTATTCAGCTTTCATAGCTTATTTTGATAGTTTAAGATGTCTGCTAATTGAATTCTGATTACATGATGTTTCTCCAGACTAAAATTGAGCCAGCATTTGTTCTGTTTTTCAATTGTCCTGAAGAAGAAATGGAGAGACGTCTTCTGAATAGAAATCAGGTTAGATGGTGTTCTCCCTCTGCATACCCTGTTCAGATTAAAATTCAACATTTCCTTCTTTGTTGTCTTTTGTTCACCATCTATTCGTGAAATTTCGTTGTTGTTTAGATTTTATTTTTATGGTTATTTTAGGGAAGAGAAGATGATAACATTGAGACAATAAGGAAGCGGTTCAAAGTCTTTCTGGAGTCTAGTCTTCCTGTCATTGAGTATTATAATGCTAAGGGGAAAGTCAGAGAGGTAAATGTTTGTTACTTAAATTGTTTAGCAATTTTTTTCCTGATGATTTGCACAACTATTTCAACTTCTAGATTTGTTGTTTTACCTTTAGATTGATGCTGCAAAGTCCATTGAGGATGTGTTTGAGGATGTTAAAGTCATCTTTACCCCAAAAGAAGAGCAGGTAAAGTGCTATAGTTGTGCTGTTCTCTAAATGCCCCTTGTGATTGTAAAATTAAATTTAGGGAATGATACATGATTACGTATGAGAAATAATGTTTTATGCATCTTGTATCAATTATATCACCCTCACTTCTAATAGCGTGCTCTTGGGAATATAAGCATGAAAATAATTGGTGTTCTAAAGGTTAATGTCATCAGTATATCTTAATTATTCAGTTTAACTTAAGTCTGGATGTGATTTCCTTTTCATATAAGTGTTTTCCTGAGCACCAGTTTTAGGCACAGATCATTTTCACACAGCACCTTGGCTGAAAACATAAATTTATTATTCTTAATTAATTTTAATTAATGTTTTATTTATTTTTACTAATTTTAATTAATATTTTATTGTAAAAGACATAAAAACCACAGCTACAGTCATTGCCCAGCAAAGCACTTCCCAATGAAGCCTTAGTCATGGTTATAAATGCCAATTTAATTGTCATAGAGAAGAAAACAGAGGGAAATTGTTTTATTGAAATTGTTTTATTTATTATTATTATTTTTTTGAAGTTAAGAATGGAAAACACAAGGATGCAAGCTAGTAAATTTATGCCTTACAAACAAAGTCAAGTACAAGAAGTAACAGAGGGCAATAAAATGATGCCGCCAATAATAATTTGGATGTAGGCTACAAATTTTGTAACTTGTTGACAAAATTGTGAAAAAGTTAGGATGGATTTGGGTACTGCAACAAACAATAAATGAGGCTTAATAAGTGATTACTGTCAATGGTAAGTTATGCATGATGGACATTAGACATGTTTTTTCCAAGTGTAGAAAAAAAAATATACATTGCATACTTGAGTCCTTAATGAACAAGCATGTATAATTTGGTTTAAGAAAAATCAAAGATCTTTTAATCTACCTTGCTTGTCTGGATCAACCTTGTATCTTCTAGATGAACTTGTTTCTCAATGCAATAATATTTGGCCACATCCTATTATCTTGCTTTACATATATTTAATTATGTGGTGTGTGTGCAGGTTGCTACCGCCTAGGTGTTGTTATTTATCAGAGATTGAGAACAACTTCAGTTGAGGTATCCTAACCACGAATTTTTAGAGAATCGAATTTTCTGATGCCTTATTGCATTAGCATGAAAGAATATTAATCTATCCCAACTTTAGGTTCAGCCACTGATATCATTCTCTTGCAGGTGATGCCATGTTTTGCTGCAAATTGTTGTACTTTATTGTGGAAGGTTCTTGTCCATTGAACATTAGTTTTTTGCTTTCCCCTTTTTATTTTCTCTGATTATAATATAGCAGGTTATTGTCTATGTGATGAAGAGGTTCCAGCCTATTTATTCTTGTATTGTGATTCTATTCTAATAACAAAATTCATAGTGGTAATACCAATAATGTTGTTTTCACTAATTATAAGCCCCTGATTTCAATTTCATTTTCTGGTCGATCATCCTGATAAATGGAAAATAATAGAGGGCTAAATTATAACTTAAGCCCTCAAACTTACAAGATTGCAACTTTTAAGCTCCCGAACAAAAAAAGTGCTAGGTTTGTTTGTGCACTTCACAATGGTGACCAAAATGATCCTTTTCTAATAGACAACAAATGATACAACTTTTCTTGTATCCCTTAATTCATTAAACTGCATGTTCTGCGATTCTTAAAACTCTTACTTTCACTAGAAAGATATTATCATTAAGCAAATTAAGTTGTTGGCACAAATAATACAACTTTTTGTGATACAAAAATGATATGACAATTCTGTAGACTTCTGCTCTAAACGTTTGTATATCATTTACAGTAAGCATAATTAATCAATAACAGCTAAAATTAGAATTTTCAAACATGGCAATATGACCAGATGACATCTTACAAAATGGTAACCTGAAGTTCTAAACCAAGTCCTCGGTTTAATAAAATATAATCCCATTCTCCTTAATGGTGTCAAGTACTATCCCAAGCTTACCCTCAATTCTCTCATTCTTTTGAGGCTCATATGACATTGCAAAGACATCAGCCTCCTTTGACCTGTCAGCAATCAACTTTCCAATAACCCTACAGGCATTGTGATCGGTGAGTGATGGTAATGTGTACCGCAGGTCCTTGGCATTCGTGGTAGCGACTGTAATCACTTTGCTGGTACCTCGGTGCATGACTTTGGCATGGATAAAGCGCTTAGAAAAGAAAACGTTTAGTAAGAATGGCCTCATGTACATATCTGTTTTTTGTTTCCATGATTTCCGGTTTGGTTTTTTTGCTAGCTCACCTCGAGATCTCCGTGTCCAGGCCGCCATAGTGATAGAGTTCTGAAATCATAAGCAAGTAAAATCAAGATTTTACACGCGCACAAAAGAAAAACACTCCTAAGACATAGCTGATTATTGCCTACAGAAAACCAAAATGTAAAAGTAAAGATAGATGGCCTGCTCATCAACACTTCAATTTCAGCCTGACTAACTCTACACACGTTTCAAAGAACAAGTCCAATCCTCAAAAATGTATTACTAGTGGAGACCAATTAATCATGTTATTGACCTGATTTTGCACAGAGAAAATAAAGATAGCTACAACATCTTAAGAGCATTACCAGTCTCACCAATCCAAAACATAAAGAACCATATTTTATAATTTTTGTGCAGCTGTTATCAAGTTGATCACACGACAACTAGCTGTGAAAACGTAAGATACGTATTTGAAATTTCTTGGAGGTATTAAGACCAAGAAAGGTTCCAACTTTGGTCCATATTCCATTTCTAGAAGGCTAATTCAACTCAGTCAAGTCAGATGTTCCTTTATTTTTTTAATTGCTATAACCAAGTCAAGAACTTAGAATCTAAGTATACCAAGTCAAGAACTTAGAATCTAAGTATCAAAGCCAGATTAATTAAATTCTAAAGCCCTTGATTAATCCCAACAAGTTGCATATGTCACAACCTTGTTACCCTCGGGTCAAGGTCAAGGTCAAGGTCAAGAGCAAAAGTCCAACTTTGCTAATTTCCTAATCACATTAACAAATGCCAACCAGTTTGAATTGCATCGTTATTTTTCTCCCAAAATTCTATGATCCCATCCTCATAATGTTATCCGCATGTAATCTTCTCCACTCTAAAACTCTAAAAAAATTACATGTTCATATTTATATATATATATATATATAAATCTATATGGTAATCGAAAAGTTTGGGTCTTTTACATTAATAAATATCTGAAAACAAACTACGTACCCAAATAATAATAAAAAAACTAAAATTAAAATTGGTATCTTTAATGAACACGGTATTGCATAGACAATATCAAAAACAGAAGAATAGAAAGAAAAAGAAATAAAAAAAAAAAGAAGAGAAGAAGCAGGTGTGAAATCGCATACCTTGTACTGAGAGGGAGTGCGGGGGACAGTGACAGGATTGACAGAGATGCCAAGACTTGGGAATGAAGAAGACCATGAAAGCGAACTGGGTTTTAGCGAGCAACCTCGAAGAGGCAATTGAGAAGAGAGAGCGAGGCTTGTAGATGACGACGGTGACGGAGATACGGACACACAGGCCATTTTGGCAGAACGTCTGCGTCCTGAATTGAAACCCCAGAATGCGAGGAAGAAGGAAGGAGAAACGTAAGAAATGGGCTTTTGGGCTTCGTACTCTCAGCTTGCTTTAGGATTGGGCCAAACACAAGTTTTGTTTTTCTTACAGCAACAGTTTCACACTTTCAATGGATGAAAATTAAAAAAATGTTTGCGTGGGCCAATCAGGTGGCAGAGAAATGAAGCAAATTTGAACTGTCGAAAAAGTAGGTGTACCTGTTCTGCATCCTTCAAACAGAGCAGTTTGTAAGAAGTTTTGTTGGATTTTTGAGCATGTTTTCGGTACAGATTGAAAATGAGAAATAATGTTAGCTCGGATTGAAAATGACCATAATTCTCTTGGTGTCTAGATTTTTTTTAAAAAAATTTATACTGTATAATAAGAGATAATTTTTTTAATCTTTTAATTAATATCTTAAATTTTAAATGATAATAAAAAGGGCATTGTAACCAATTTTAATTTGAACTAATGGTCTTTTTATCAGTTAAAACTAAAAAATAGTATTTTCAATTAACCCCAAGAGTTTGATTTTAAGTGTTGTCTTATATGTTAAATTTAGGATTTAAATCTTAAATTCAATACTTAAAAAATTAATTTTTTTAATACACTAAATTAGTATAAGAAATATATCCTTAATATCGTGTAGTTAAGGATTACTTTCGAAGAGCATGAAAACTAGTCTAAAAGCACTTGATATTAAGTACAAAAATCGAATAATATTCTTAATTACTATTAATATTAGTGTTCCTCTTAAAATAATGTTTTAAAACAAATTTCATGTTATTATTTGCCTTTTTTATGCAGAATATATTCTTGTCTTCAAAAAACATGAGACATACTAATATTGTTATTTGTAGTTTACATGTGTTGTAAATAGTACTCATTGTTTTAGTGATTAATGCTATGTTGAGAACTTTAAAACAAAAATAGTAGAAACAAACACAATTTTTTTTAAAATTTTTTTTTCAATATTTATATATTATTAGATATGTAAATATATATTAAATTGCATGCATATCCCTAAATAAAAAAAAAAATATAATAACATTCACTGTCATTTAGGGTTATAGTAACACTCTATTTGATATCAAAATGACAATTGAGATTAAAAAAACTAATGTTGATAAAATAATATATAAAAAAAACTAATACTAATCAAACCAACTTGCAACAATGAATTTAAATTAATTTAATCATCATTCGAAGAAATCCCAATTGACTCTTTCTTTACGAACACTTTAACTAGGGTAGTAACATTTGTTTAATTTATTAAATTAAACAGCCTTCTTCTCAATCTTTGGCAATTTATAAGGGCCTAAATGATCAAACTGAGAGTTGCACTTCTCGTAGATTAATAGGAGAGAAATTAAAATATCATGGAGGACAACTTCGAATTCGTCGCCAAGCTCGGCAGCTCGATGGCAGCGACAACCGGGTGGAAGAACACCATCGCCGTCACAATCATCATCTTCATCATCCGGCTTTGGGCAAAGGCACTTCAGGTGAGGGGCAACAACCGTCTGCCGGGTTTCATTTTCCGCTATAGCCATGCCAAAACAGATGTCACGCCATACTGTGCGGTATGCCTCAACGAAGTCACCGACGGCGAGAGGCTCCGGCAGCTGAAAGGGTGCAAGCACTGCTTCCACGTGGAGTGTATTGATACGTGGTTGGAGTGCCGGCCGACATGTCCCCTGTGCAGAAATCAGGTTTCTTTGGTTCCTCAAAACCAACATGGGTTCATCCTCTCCTCTATTCTTCCAATTTTGAAGAATCTTTATAGGAAAATGGGAAATAATTAATCAATTTTAACTAATTAAAATTGTAGACATTTTTTATTTCAGTCATAATATTGTGTAGTTCTACATCAACCCTATATATAACTATTAATTCTTTTAACTTTAATAATCTTTTCATAATCAAGATAGAATGAAAATTTTTATTTATCTATTAATGATTTTTTTTAATGTTTATTGATTGCTGATAAGAAATTTCTTATTTACTTTTTATTTTTAACATAGGAGAATTTTGGAGGATAAAGAAATTTTTTTTCTAAATTATTGGTGATAGTTAAACTTTCGATCAATTAAATTTAAATATTAAAGTTTAGAATAAATCATTGAGTTCGAAGGTTCAATACAATTTCTTATCTACTTATTTCAATAATTTGTTTGGCATTTGAATGCTATACCCTAAAATGGCATTAATTAGTAGCAAGTATATGAATTTTTTATTTTATAATATAAACATTATTTATTATATTATAAAATAAAAATTATATATTGAATGAAAGATAATTTTCATTATCAAAAACTTATATCTATCTAATAGTTTAATTAAATTTTATAGTTTAAATTTTATAACACTTAATTTGTTTCAATATTAGCGATACATATCTTATTCAATTAAAATGCATCAAGCCAGTTAAAAATCAGTAAAAATTACTAAGTTGGCACGCTTTAATTGGACAGAGAGGGTTGGGATATTTTCGATAACCCGTGATATTCTGACTTTCTTGCAGTCACCAACCCACAAATTTATATATAATGGCGATAGTTTTTATTCTAGGGTTTTCAAAATGTTGGGACCAATCCTTGAACTTTTGGCCAATTTCGTCCAGGTGTCCTCTTGCTAACGCACTTGTACAGGTGGGGCTACTGAATTAAATACTATTAAATAGATAACAGAGAAAGTTGAATTCCTTTTCTTCTTTTTTAATGGTGGCCTGCAACTTTCTAGCTATCAGTTGTATCCATTTTGCACTTTGTTTGCACTTGGGCCGTGAGGCCCCAACCTTCATGTATCAATTTGTAAGGTATATCTTTTTACTCGAGAGTCGGGGTTTGATTCTCTTTACTTTCAAAAATTATAACTTTGTTCAAAAAAATATTTGTACTTTGTTCATTGGATTAAGTACTTTCCCCATAATTAAGAGGAAACCAAACAAACAAGACCTTTAATTAGAGATCATGTATTATTACCAAGGAATTTTTTTAACATGTATTTTAATAACAAATTTATTGTATTTTTTATTTTTAATTTACATGAAAAAATAAAAACTAATTTAAATCATATGTTAAAAAGACGTTATTAAGAAACCATACTACATTATTAGGCAATACAATAAATGAAGAATACTCCACAAGATGGAAAATATCCCAAGCATTAATTATTTGGCCATCCTATTGTTCCGTTCATACATAAAGGATAATAATCAATCAGCTGCATTTCAGTTTTGAAGTCAAATTAGCTAGAATTTGACTGTGTTGGGAGCTTCAGAGGTGTAAATCCATGGCGGAGACTAGCTTCCCAAGCTTTCTCTACGCTGGACATGGGGTAACCGCATTCATGCTCCTCCCATCCTTCCAAGGCGTGCACTATCCCCGCTACTCGCCATGCACTCATCACTCTCCTTGGCAGCCAATTCTACGGTGTTCAAATGCAAGTTTCAGCAATAAGATATAGCATTTAGCCAGATGGGTATTTGATAAAATAAAATGAGCGTTAATAAGGAACCATATATCTTGGGTAAAGTGGGCTATATGCAGACTGCAGTACTGACCTCACAAGAATCTACATTCTCAAGAGACATGGGAGTTGACATCGCTGGGGTGCTATGATAAAAGCAATCTTTGCGCACTTTCTTTGGTGGGATTTGGGAGAAGGGCATAAATAATGTTTCTTTTGGTGCCTTTAATTGTTCTTCTTCTGTCAAACCATCTCCTACCAACCATATCTACAAAAGTTCATCAAAACCTTTTAGATTTCATAGTAAGGCATTTATTAATCCATCTGCTAATTTAAACTGTCCAACCGTGAATTGACTAAAGAAAAGCAGAGCAAATTGGATCACCTTGGGAGAGTAGCTTCCTGTAAGGACCAAATTGTTTTGAGACTTGGAGTTGAAAGATTTGTTTAGCTTCTCATATTCATCTCCATGCATTACGGTGACCTGGATGCCCTTTTGGCATAAAGCAAAGAAGATAGCATAAGCAACCTTTGTGAGGTTACCCCTGAGGAGTACTTGTGTTGTTCCTTTTGGTATGCTATTCAGCACAACTGCCACTGCTAAGCTGCTTCCATCCACCAACTTCATTTTGAGCTGAGAATGCTTGTGAATATAAAGGTCCCCATACTTGTTAAGCTTTTCACCCTAACAAATTTAGACATCATAAGATAATCTTTATCCATAAGAGTAGCATGTGCAGTGAAACAGATTTCTAACACTTGCCTGATTCAGGAGGCCTAGAGTTAACACCTTAGCCCCTTTTACCTCTGCCTCTATTATGGCTTCCTCAATCAGGCTATTGATAGATTTATTTTGCCATTGTAAGCGGTACTGCAATAAGAAATTACCAGCAGAAAATTAGTAATATTAAAAAGGATACCGGTTAAATTAATGATGGGGTTAAGAAATTTTAATCTTACTTGTATCTGGTATTTTGGTATGGCCCAAGTTTGCAATCTAAGTTTATCAAAACGGTTTCTTTCCACGACAAAATTATGACCATAAATCCAAGTTAACACCATGAACCACAGAGTAACGGGCCACATCAACCATAGGTACCACCGTGATGTGTACGGCTTAGAAGCGAAGGAGGCGAATCCAAGGCGCAAATGGTAGATGGACTCTGGTGTGGTTAGATGCGTTAGGTGGACAACATCAGGTGACTCTTCATCTCTTTGTAGGGATTTTTCATACAGAGCATCAGAAGCCCTGTCCATGGTGCCATAAATGTAATCATAGATTGGCATGAACAGTGAGTAATTGGTCCTGAACTGTGTATGGTGCATTGAGTGAAACCTGCAACATATGCCAAGGCCAAGGGTTAAAAGAAAGTTATCATTAAAACCTGCCGTAAACAAAGGGGTATAGGAGTTAATGTCTGCAACAAAAAATGGCCATATATAACATATGAATACAAAAAATTAGATGTGGTCAGTTAGTCACGAGCCGGATTCAAACACCAATTTTCTCATTACGATCGTCACCTAATATATATGTTCACACTCAAAGGTCTATTTGGACAAGGATAACATCTTAGAAATAGTATCACCCAACAGTGAGATCCTTCTTTACCAATTATCATGATCTGGATCAAACTAGAAACTAATTACCTAACAACTTTGATCTACTTCCATGCAACCCTTAAAAGCTCAAGTTAATTAAGTTGTATGGTGGCCAATGTGGTACCATTCATGCTCACATGGTGGGAATGGAACATCATCATAATTGTACGGTAAAAAGGAGGAAGAAAAAGAAAAGGGGAAAGATTTTTAAGGCTTTAAGATAAATCATGAAAATGACATGCACAAGAAAGGAGAGGAAGAGAAAACTAGACACATAACACTAAAAAGTAAAAACAGATGGACACTTTCATACGGGGTATCTGGAAATGTACAGGTCAGAAGCATTTAACATCTTGCCTGGTCAGTACGGTTTCTTGTTGGTTGATACTTGATAGAATATTAATTCATTTTATAAGGCGACAGATACCCAGATCAAAAATGGCCAGACACGAGGATCTGTCGAATGTTACGTATTCATCTGGGCAATGAATACGACAACAAAACAAATTGTTATAAGCACAACAAATTTTAATTGGTGTTTTTTAAAATACTAATTTAGTTTGATTTAATTATTAGAAATAATTAGTAATTATAAATATTAATTAATAAATAACAAAATATTTTTTTATATATATTATTTAACAAATTAAAATTAATCTAATATTAATATTATTGCAGAGTGTAAAAATACTCAAATTCAATTGAGTGTTTTTAGTATTTCTCATATCTTATATTAATAAAAACTTGATACATCAAATCAAAATGGTTTGAATCTTGAATTATGTAAGAAAAGATTTAAGAAGCATGAGGGTTATCCCATCTTAGTCTGAGGTAAGATTGGAATGTGTGTGACTTAGATCCAAATTAATGCTAGCAAACGACTTTAGTATATATAGTTCAAACATGTACCTTGAATATGACATAAAGGATCTAAATGAGATAGTTCAATCATGTAGCATGAATATAACGTAAAGGATCTAATTAGAATGAGGTTAGTACTTACGTTGGGGTGTACATCAAATATTTGAGAGGAGGGAAAATGGTGAAGACCCACTTAGGGATGAACTCGAAGTTGCAGTGTCCCATGTTGTTCATCAAGTCAATGTAAGTAATGTAAAAACCATAGGCTGCTATGGAGGCAGTTTCGGTGAACACCATCGTCAGAAGCGGTATCGAAAATAAAGCAAAGTAAGCAATGTGCTCAGCGAACGGATGAATCACAGCTGCCACAGAAACCAAAAATCATCAAACGGAAAAATCATTCTATTTCCGATAATGATCATAGGAGCATTTCATAGAAAAGTTTGAGGACATTTTGCATACAGCTGATGGGTTCAGTGACAATGGAGGAATGATGATGGGAATGGTAGCGATTGTAAAGGTAATGGTGGTGAAGTGCTCGGTGAAGCCAATAGTACAGGAACTCCACTGGTCCGGCATGGATCAGTGCCGTTAGAATCATACCATCTGTTCTCCAAAGAGGAAAGTGAGAACCTCCGGGAAGAACCTTGTTAAAAATGTAGAACAATATCGCATTGAAAATTATTTGATCATCCCTGCAAAAGCAAAAAATAGCCATTTCAGAATCACTGAAGCTTTACAGAAAGAAAAGGTATTTTCTTGGATTTTCTCACCAGTTTCTTTCTCTGTCGACTTGGTCGAACTCTATGGGCTTATCTACGATCCTGTTGTTGCCCTTCGCAGTTCGGTAACGAGAAAAGCTGATCCATAGCTGGTTATGAAGGATTCTCCATAGCATAAGAGGGAATATGATGAAGTTGGAAAGATCCCTCTCCTTTTCATCCTTGAATATGAAAGAGTATATACTTTCTATGACCCAAGGAGCCAAGACCAATTGCTGCACAAAAATCCCATAAAATCAACAACAGAAGAAAACAGACTTAGCATTAATGCAATCTGCTAACTAAAAAGATCAAAAACTTTTCTTTTGTTTAAGTATAAATCAAAGTGGGAGAGGGAAAATGGAAGGACAAGTTGAGACCTTGTAGCTTCCGAGGGGCGTCCATGGCCAGTCAGTGAGGATGCCAGGCTTAGAGGCCATGCTTAATCTTGCTCTGCAACTTTCATTACGAGTTTTTATATATAATACCGTCTTTTTTGTTTTTTGTTTTTTT